TCTCCAGTCCAGTCCAGACCAGAACCTTCTATCTCGACAGAAATAAAGCCCCGGCTGTCCCTTTCATCTTCCTCTAGTATAAGCATTCACTGTTATATATATTTTTTTTTTCTCTTTTTGTAAAAGGCAGTTCCGCCTGAAGAACAATTTAAATCCCATCCAACCATTCTGGCCAAGGCAACCTCTTTATACTGAGATAAATTGTTAAAGTCCTCACCAGTTTGAGGCAGGAAAAGAACTTACTTGGGAGATATTCCTCACCCAAATTCACAATCTTTTGTTTGCAGAAATCAGTAACTTGGGACTCGTAATGGTATATCAGGAATTCTCAAATTCCTTCCGAATAAGAAAATGACCAAAATACCCCTATCCTAAGGGTAAATTCGTAATTTCACTCAAATTAATTAAAACAGGAAATAAATTTTGAGTCAGGGTGTTACAGACTTCCCCTCTAATAAAAATTTCATCCCCGAAATTTCATACCTGTCACTCCAAAGGGTTTGGGTACTAAGCCTGCCTCGACCACTCGGGTTCCCTAGTATCCTCCTCCACAACCTGATATGACAGGAACTTAACCTCTCACGTTTCCCGAACCCCTGCATGAAGAAGCTTTGATTCAGGGTCACTCAACTTCAAAACATCCTTCCGTTGAAGGCATTGAAACTGAAATTTAAATTTACCACCCTAGGCGTACCCATTTTATTTCCGTCCATTCTTAATAAGCCGTCAATTCCTCGTGTCACCACTGGTGACACCCCCTCGCAGGTCTCAGTGACACAAGGTCGACCTGAGCCACATTCCTCGCAGGATTTCGGGGACATTTGGTCACCCTGATCCGCATTTACTATTTAAGTTTCCAAGTTCCTTCCTCCACAACCATGTTGGTAGCCAAGCCAAAAGCTCTAGCTAAACAAACAAAGGAAGAGAAGTCTCCTTCTTCCCCTAAGAATATCCTTTAATAGCTGCTATAATGCTTAATCTTTCTCTGAAAGCTAAACGCTTCCATTTATAATTTGATTCTCTTCTAGCTCTCCCCCTATAAGAAATCCACGTTCTTTGAGTTCTTGATATTTTCCTTCTTTCTTTAGAATCGATAAGCGACATTGCCAACAAGATTCTTTGAGAGGAATGTCAGAAAGGATCATTTTTACTGAATTGTAATCATCATCTATCTCACCATGGTCATAAGCAACTCCAAGTGTATAGCTAATGATACAATCCGTCTTCCCACACCAGAATCTGTAACCTCCCTGAAACTTAAGTCTCAAGCTCCTTGAGTCAATCACGACACCAATCATCTCTCAAACTAATTTCGTGTACTCTACTAGTTCGTACTTAACTAAAACCGCCTTACAACTCGAACATAAAGTTCATCACGTGCCACAGAAGCCAAGTTCACAACTCACTCAAGTGTGACAAACAGTTCCTATGTTTAGTCCTTGAAGAGCCTTAAAATTCAAGAGGAGTTCCTACCATGTGGCTAGCAGAGTCCAATGCTCGGGCTAGACAAGCAATGATGAGGAGTCTCCTTCTGTAAGAGAAGTACTGCTATCCTAATCTTTTCCACCCTTGTGATTTCGATTATACTAAGGCCGTTCTTCAAATCATGAATCCAGTGATTCAATCTTCAAGAATTCACTCTTCTCAAAGAAAGGTTGAGCTCTTATTATCTTCGACTCCATGCTCAATGCACACAATCGAAAATTAGCAACATGTTCAGGTAATCGAGGATCCCTAGAAGCAGGTTGATCAACTCCATGTCCTCTTGCCCATAAGAACTCAACAAACTTCATCATAGGAACATCCAATTGTACCCTAGGTACAGGTGTTGTCCCATGCGAAACCTTCGGCTTCTGTACACAATCTTCCGGAACTTCTGAAACAACCTCTGTCTGTGGTAAAGCTCCGACTCTTCCTTAGGCAACGGCTTATGTATCTTTCCTCTTCCTCTTTCTCAAATTGGTTCCATTTCCAGAGAGATGGGCAGAAGTAACCCAAGTCGCCGGTCACACTCACAGCGGCCGGAATTTCAAGAAATTTTGGAGCTACAATTTACCGCGTAAGAGAGCAAGGAGGAAGAATCCTAATGTTCCACTCCTGCCAATCGCGGTATTCAAGTCCACGCGAGTCAAATGATACTTCACCCAACACCACTACTTCTCACTTTAATTTGTCACGACCCTCTTTGGTCGGGCTCACAATTCCTCCATTCCCATGTAACTTGTCCATCAACTTTCTCTGACAATTTTACCTCGTCTCAGCTGATTCAATACTTTCAGCTCTTCAGCTTTCCTTCCATAGGATATTGAGATACGACAATTTGGATAGACACTTTTCTAGAAACGTGACACCCCTAAGTGTAATCGTCAATATCCTAAATCCAACAATGTCAAAGAGTCCTTAGCGTCGCAAATGCGCCATTCGGGGATGGAACCCATCATAATACCCAAAAATTAAGGATGCACACAAGGTGCGGGGTCCACAGGAAATTGAACCTAGAGCTCTGATACCAATTGACAGGACTCGCCCCAAATTTTTCGAAACCCGAGACAATTCTTGTGGGAATCCCGGCATCACACCAATGCCGGGCTCACCCACTAAAATTATAACCTCTTTTCCCAAAAAGGAATAAGGGCATC